CCTCCTGTTTTAACCCATTTATAGATTTTTTTTTTAATTTTTATAATCAACCTATATCACAGGTTAATTGTATTTATCTACCTATATGACATATTCTTTTTCAGAGTCAACCTGTCACAGATTAATGTGCCTTACTTGTAGGTATATTATGTTTTGTTCTATCTTTTAGTTAGGTTTCATATCTCACTTATAGGTAATATACATTCATATATTTTGCTACTTGAGTTAGGGTAGAATGTTTTGCAGATAGATTTATGTTAGTATATTATTATTTTTTGTTTATAAGATATTAATTAGATATTTTGGAGTTGAAAAATGCATAATATTAAAATATTTTAATTGATTTTTAATATTTTTAGAAAATATAAAAGGAGTATAAAAGAAATAAAAACATATAATTAGATAACTGGAGTCACTCCTAAAAACACTCTATGTTTTTGGACCTGGATCTAAAAGCCCATTTTTTTTATCCAAAACTGTGAAAATAAGTTGTTTTTAAGTGTTTACCAAACATCTTTTTGAGCTCAGCTTTTTTTTATACCCACTTTTTATAAAAACACATCAGTACCAAACCAGTATTAAGAATCAGAGTTTGTAATCAATTTCTTTTCCCTCATCCTTTGATTTGTTAATAACATTTCATTCATCCAGGATTCTAACTTCTTTAAAAACAAAAAAATCTTGTAGGCAGAAAGAGACCCTACTCCTCTCCACCGTGCTGCAAAGCTGTTAATCAATTCTCAGATGGAGGATGGTGGATTCCCTCAGCAGGTTGCGTACCGCCTAGTTTTCAGAAGAAAGTTAAATAAATAAAAAATACACTAATATTGAGTGGTGATGCTTAATGGCTTCCATTAATTTTTTCAGAAAATGGCTTCCTTTGTATGCAATCGGAAATTAATGGGAGAAGAGGAACAATATCATCTCCGTACAGAACACACAATTAACCTTTTATTTAGGGTAAATTATATAGTAGCCCCTCAGGTTTGAGGTCTATTGCAATCTTATACAACATCTTTAAAACATTTCACTTTCATACCTCAAGTACTATTTTATTTCAATTTCATACAACCGTTACATTTTTCATCCATGGATCTGTTAAATGCTGACGTGGCTGCCACATGTATGTCATGTGGCTGCCAAATGTCAGCCACGTGGCAAATAAAATAAATATATTTTTTTTTAAAACTGAAATTGGAAGAAAAAAAAAAAAAAAAAAGGGACTGAACTCCTGCAACCCAGAAGAAGAAGAAAGAGGAGGAGGAGGAAGAAGAAGAAGAAGAAGAAGAAGAAGAAAGAGAAAGAGAAAGAGAAGAAGAAGAAGAAGAGAAGAGAAGAAGAAAAAAAAAAAGGGTCCGAACCCAGAAGAAGAAGAAAGAGAAAGAGAAAGAGAAGAAGAAGAAGAAGAAGAAGAAGAAAGAGAAAGAGAAGAAGAAGAAAGAGAAAAAAAAGAAAAAAAAAGGGGTCCGAACCCAAAAGAAGAAGAAAGAGAAAGAGAAGAAGAAGAAAGAGAAAAAAAAAAAAAAAAAAGGGGTCCGAACCCAGAAGAAGAAGAAAGAGAAAGAGAGAAGAAGAAGAAAGAGAAAGAAAAAAAAAAAAAAGGTCCGAACTCAGAAGAAGAAGAAAGAGAAAAAAAAAAGGTGGCAAACAGGTTTTTTTTTTTTTAAATTAAAAAATTATTTTATTTGCCACGTGGCATACATGTGGTAGCCACGTCAGCATTTAACAGATCCATGGATGGAAAATGTAACGGTTATATGAAATTGAAATAAAATAGTACTTGAGGTATGAAAGTGAAATGTTTTAAAGATGTTGTATAAGATTGCAATAGACCTCAAACCTGAGGGGCTACTATGTAATTTACCCTTTTATTTAACTTCGATTTTCATGTTCGTAGGAAATGACAGGTACTTTCCTTACATGTTACACTACGCAGCATATTTGCAATACTTTCCCCTTAATGGCCTGTGTGATTTGGTCAGGAAGCTCAGATTTCTGAGCTCAGGAAATGATCCAAATCCTTTTTCGACCTCCTACCAGAAAATTTGAGTATTACAGATGGAACCGATGTTTTCCAAGACAAGGAATCTTCATTTTTTTTTATAAATGAGGATTATTGTGGGCTCACATCCTATCGAACTTCAAATCATTTATTTACCGTTTATTTTTCAAGTTGCACATCATAGATCATCATTGCAAAATATCAACTATCGGAAATATTTAGTCATCTAATTGAGCTCAAAGAAATTGACAAATACTATGTTTGAAGAAACATTGAAATTTTATCGTGTCGATTAAATAGGTAAATTGTTTCGGATTGATTTGAATTTTTACATAAATAATCTATTAATCGACACTTATAAGAATAGATGGTTGAAATCGTTGAAATTCGATATAAAACAAGTCTCACAACTAATTCCATTTTTTAAGAAATGGAAATCCTTTCTAAAAAAAGCCTGTATTAAGATAATGATGACCTTCACTTTGACAGAACCAGATTCCCTCCAGACCCAAATAAACTGAGCCTAAGGATCAAAGGATTCGGACCGTTGAAATTTGATCAAACGGCTACAATTATTATAACTTTTAGAGGGCTCTTTGTTTGTAGTCGTTGGATCAAATTTCAACGGTCCAGATCCTTTGCTCAGCAGGTCCAATTTTTTGGGTTCGGAGGAGATCCGGTTCCACTTTGATAATAATGGTTAACCAGAAAGTTTAGGTACGTAGAATTAGTCAAATGGACTTGTCATACTGGAAGAAAATTCGTCAGTGTATACTGTATACCATGACAAAAGTTTTGAAAAACAAAAGAAAGTCAAAGATCCAAACATGGGATGTTTACTTTTAAGTACCTAAGGCCATCTCCAACCGAAGGGTTCAAAGGGTCAGAGGATCGAAAATAGCCCGAAAATCATCTCTAACAGAAGGCTAGGCCAGAGGGCTTGTGGAATCTGATAGGGCCCCACAGAATCTGAAAGGGCCAAAGGGCTGCATGCATGCAACCAGCCAGGCAACCGGGGGGTTGCCAGAAAAAATATTAATCCTGTCGATTATAATTGACAGGAATGCTTCAGCTAAAATTCAAATGCAACGGCTAGCAGCTAGCCGTTGCATTTGAATTTTTTTTTTTACAGTTTTATTATTATTTTTTATTTACAAAATTTTTCCTATAACTTCTATTTTTCATTTTTTTTAAATTCTATTTTTTTCCTATAACTTTTATTTTACAAAATTTGTTTCATATTTTTTTTAAATTCCATTTTTTTCTATAACTTATATTTCACAAAATTTGTTTCATTTTATTTTAAATTCTATTTTTTTCTATAACTTCTATGTTAGCTACCAACGGCATGATGACGTCACTTAGCCGTTGGATTTGAATTTAAGTTGGAGTTTTTAAATAATAAATTATGTTTGACCCTCGATTGGAGACGGTTTTTTGTGACAGGGCTAAAATGAGCCCTATGGACTTTTGGCCCTCCAAGATATTAATATTTTAATGAACAGTACATGGTCTCCAACCGAGGGTCAAAGAGCCATATGACTCGTTTTAGCCCTGTCACAAAAAACTGTCTCCAACCGAGGGCCAAAAGGCCAAACATAATTTATTATTTAAAAACTACAACTTAAATTCAAATCCAACCGCTAAGTGAAACAAATTATGTAAAATTTTGGAAAAAAAAAATATGAAACAAATTTTGTAAAATAGAAGTTATAGGAAAAAAATGGAATTTAAAAAAAATATGAAACAAATTTTGTAAAATAGAAGTTATAGGAAAAAATGGAATTTAAAAAAAATATGAAACAAATTTTGTAAAATAGAAGTTATAGGAAAAAAAATAGAATGAAGTGAGATAGTATGGAATGATGAAAATTATGTGATAAATAGTGTAGGAATGTGTCACATCCCCGCCCGGAGCCCCACCACATCCCGGGCTAGACTCCACTGTAACACAATATTGTCTGCTTTGGGCCCGGACTACGCCCTTACGATTTTGTTTCTGGGAACTCACATGAGAACTTCCCAGTGGATCACCCATCATGGGATTGCTCTCGTGCGAACTCGCTTAACTTCGGAGTTCCGATGGAACCCGAAGCCAGTGAGCTCTCAAAAGGCCTCGTGTTAGGTAGAGATGAGAATATACATATAAGGCTTACATGATCCACTCCCCTGGGCGATGTGGGATGTTACACAATTCACCCCCTTAGGGGCCCGACGTCCTTGTCGGCACACTTCTGGCCAAGGATTGGCTCTGATACCAAATTGTCACACCCCGGCCCGAGCTCCACCACATCTCTGGCTCAACTCCGCCGTAGCACGATATTGTCCGCTTTGGGCCTCGACCACATCCTCACGGTTTTGTTTCTGGGAACTCACGTGCGCAGAACTTCCCAGTGGGTCACCCATCCTGAGAATGCTCTGACTTTTTTCTCGCTTAACTTCGAAGATCTTAAGGAATCCAAAGCCAGTGAACTCCTAAAAGGCCTTGTGCTAGGTAGATATGAGAATATACATATAAGGCTTACAGGATCCACTCCCTTGGACGATGTGGGATGTTACAAATGGCTTATGTATTTATAGAAAAAAAAAGTTTAAATTCATTATAAAAAAAAAAAATTGAATACAACGGCTAGTCAGCTAGTCGTTGGATTCAAATTTTTGTTTAAGCATAAATATAAATACATTCCTGTCTGTTATATCTGACAAGATTTTTTGAATTTTTGGCCAGCCCTTTGGCCCTTTGGCCCTTTTAGATTCTGTGGGGCCCACGAGCTCTCTGGCCTAGTCTTCGGTTGGAGACGATTTTCGAGCTATTTTCGGACCTCTGAACCCTTCGGTTGGAGATGGCCTAAATTGTCAACAGGATCCTCTTTGTTAAGTAGTTATCATAGCATTTTAGATCTCAACTGCTCTGTGACTTGTGTCTCACATAGTTATAGCATCAATGGACGTATTATGTGCTACATCGATAAGCTAGGGTAACAATTGGTGACTATTATTAATGTGTTTTTCACATATTACAGTTCGCTGGTTCTCGTTCATTAACCGAAGATAAATATACATCAATCGTTCGTCTACGTAAGCATGTGTAAACAACGTATTGGCTTTAGACAATGACTCTGTGATAGTGTTTATCTTGATACAACATTTATACATTTGCTCTCGTTTACAACCATATTTTTCACAAAAGAACGAAACACAGTGAACTGTATATCCATTTCAGTAGAGAATACTAAAACTCAAACTCAAGGGTTACTGTTTATTAACTGTATATCGGCTTCTGTACAGTGAAACTTTGAAAGTGCAGTCTTGCCCTTTCGATTCGTCCATCATCGGTGGATGTTTTGGCTTTAGTTGTTCTGGATCTTTCTTTTGGTTTCGGCTATTCTCTCTCACATATCTCCAATTCCTTTGTTTTTCGCCGTCCGTTTTGCTCCGCCTTGGCTTCTGTTTTCTTCATCGTCTTGTCGTTGTTGAAAATATTGACTGTTTTCCTTAGTTGTTCTTCGATTAGTAGTAAGGGTTGTTAATTTCTCTGCCTTTTTGGTTTGATTCCAATAATTTTTTTGGGTTTTTGATTGGTTTGATCTGTGTTTTCTTAGTAAGTTCTGCATGTGTTGCCGCACAAGGTTTTTTTGATTTCAGAAATTTTGTGCCCATTTTGGATTCGCTTCGAACTTGGTTGAGATCCATCTAATCCGGCGTTTCCAGGTGAGTTTTGCATGTTTGATGGTTTGTTTTTCAGATCGTTTTTGTGCATGTTTGATGCGTTTTGTTTTTCAGTTTCGGGATTCATTTCTTGGATGTTTGCCGAAGAAACGATTGGCCTGAAAGAGAGGAAGGCATTTCTGGGATTATACTTGGGAAACAAGACGATATTGACAGGGTTGATAGTTCTGACTCTGCTGACAATGATGTTGGGGATAAGGAGTTGGCAAAACCCCTTGAACCATCTCACGTGTACCTCTCTAATGCTGAGGTTCAGATCAATTCCGGAAGGATTCCAATCTGGCAAAAGTCTAAGGTAGATCCTTTCATTTATGTCTTAGATATATTTCTATACAATGAGTCCGTCTGCTGCTGGTGAGTGAGCTAAATTTTGGTAAAGATGTAACCGGCAAAGAGATGGAAATAGAGACGGTTCCTGTTCACGAGGTTGAAATGAGGCAGAAAGATTTGCTACCTGTTGTTCATCCGTTTCATAGGTTTCAGTCTGACTGGAATGGCAGGTAATGTTGCTGCTGTATTCATGTTAAAATGGACATGAATTTGCTTAATTGTTTGTAGCATTTTGTACGAATCCATCTTGCAATTTTTTCTTGCTCCTGGAGGTTGTTAAGCTTCCTTGAAAATCTGCATCTTTGCATTTCTTATGTGCTTTGTGTTTGTGGTTCTATATGGTTTGATGACCTTTTCTGAAAGGCTAGAGGTTTTTCAGAGGTTTCTTGAGCATGCTTTTTTTTAAATAACAAGTAAAAAGTATCACAAATATTGCTTTTGAATGTTTTAATTTTTAAACACTAGTTGAATTTGTTGGGGGCTTTATGCAGGTTTCTTATTGGAGCAGGATGCTTGAGTTCATCTTCTGATTCTCACGAAGATAAAGAAAAGTTTCAGGAAAAATCTTGGTAGTTCTGGTGAGAATTTTACACCTATAGGCTTCAGCTATAAACCCAATGCTGGTAAGAATTCTGGTATTTCTGATGTAATATTATTATTATTATTGTTTTACGAGTACAAGAGGATTTTCTAATACAACCGTTTCAATTTCGTTTATGTGATTTTGGATTTGCAAATTTGTTTTCTGTTCAAATTTCCTTTTGTGATTTTGGAGGGTTTTGTTTTTAAATTGATCCTCTTCTGAGCTCAGGATGGTGATCCTTTTGACCAGTCTATCTAGGCCGTTCAAATTTAATTTAACAACTACAATTATTATAACTTTTAAAAAAACTTACCTATTTGGAACCGTTAAATTAAAATTGAACGATTCAGATAAGTTGGTGAAGATCTAGAGAGGATCCTCTTCCCTCTCACTCATCTCCCGGCTCTCTCTCTCTCGCTTTTCTGCTAGATGTCAATGTTTTCGAAAGTGGCCCAAAGACTTTTCTTCTAGATGTCAATGTTTTCAAAAGTGGCCGAAAGCAGAGTGTGACAGAAAGCACAGCCGTGACAGCCTCCTTCCTAGCCGAGGGCTGTGTGTGTGAGCACACAAAAGTCTTGAAGTTGTATGAACTTGTCAAAAGTTGGAAGACTTTTGTTCACCTTTCTTTTTTATTTGTTTTTGCATGTATTAGTCTTTTGCGGTTTACAGTGCAGGCATCCTTTTTTTTTTTGGTAAACTGGAATTCATAATCAGGTAGAGATGCCAAAACATACACTGAAAGCCCAAAACGAGGCAAACAACCAAAAAACAATGCCGGAAGTGCAAGGGAAAGAAACTTCGACACTACCAGGAAGCAGTAGTGTCACCTCTTGCCTATTCAATTTATTTGATTCATAAACATTAGTGTACATTTATATTATTGGACTATCTGTCATAAGAAAATTGTTGTCTGGACATGCCACAGAAACTACTTAAATAAACTCACATCTAATCTTTTTGGCATTCACAAAAAACAAATCTGTGATCTTTTGTATGTGGTCCGTATCAGTCAAAATTTTTCCATGTAAAAATCTTCTTAATGTTGTCAATATAAATAATATTAATCTTTTATATTTTTAGACAACCTTTCAAATAATTTTTAATCCCGCAACAATACGCGGATACCAATTTCTAGTAAATACTAAAGGGCTTCATTTTCCTTAGTTAGGTCATCTTCAACCGAATGGTCCAAAGGGCTAAAGGGTTGAAAATAGCCCGAAAATCGTCTCTAACCGAGGGCTAGGTCAGAGGGCTTGTGGAATCTGAGAGGGCCTCACTGAATTTGAAAGGGCCAAAGGGCTGGGGGGCTGGCTGCATCCAGCTAGCCAGCCTGAGGTTGGCCAGAAAAAACACCAATCCGGTTATAACCCACAGGAATGCTTAAACTAAAATTTGAATTCAATGGCTAGCTGGTTCCCGTTACCGTTGGATTCATTTTTTTTTTTTTGGTTTTTTGGGTCTTTTTTTTTAATTCTTAAAAATTCGATTTTTTTTTCTATAAATACCTAAATCATTCATTCACCATTCCTTTAAATTTAATTTGTAGTTTTTAAATTTAATTTGTAGTTTTTAATTTAATTCGTCGTTTTTAAATATAAGTTGTAGTTTCTAAATTTAAGTTGTTGTTGGATTTGAATTTAAGTTGTTGTAGTTTTTAAATTTAAATAATAAATTATGTTTGGCCCCTTGGCCCTCGGTTGGAGACGGAGGCAAATATGACCATGTACTGTTCATTAAAATATTAATATCTTGGAGGATCAGATGGCTAAAACGAGCCCTTTAGCCGCCCATCGGTTGAAGATGGCCTTATTATGTTTGCGCAAACAAGCTCATGCTACAAAACCCTAACATGAGGTTGAGGGAGCTTTATCATTCAGCTTTTCTCTCTTCTTCTCTCTCTCACTTCATATATTAATTCTCTGAGTTTACTTTATGAAGATTGCATATTCCATTGAACTCGTCATAGATGTGAATCAAATCTTACACTCAAATAAAACAAAATACTACTATAGGTGAGTGAGAAAAAAAAAAATGAAAAGTATGCCTACACAGAAGGATTAGTGACAACATAATCAATATATTGTTACCTTAAAAAGTTAACTTAGTCAATCTTTTATATTTTTTGTATTGCCAGTGTATAGTTAACCCAAAACTGAGATATAAAAATTACAAAATAGAATGATATATATATATATATATATATATATATATAATAAATGTTATCTGCTTTATATCTAATTGAGAGGGTCTAGGCTAGTTAGGCGGATGCGTAGGCAGGTTTATGCGTCTGTTCTTAATTTTCAAACACTAGCGCCTAGGTGGGGCTTAAGCGGCGTTAAGTGAGCATTTTAAAAATAGTGCATAAGAAAAAAATATGGAGTGTTTAGAGAATTAACGGAGGATTTAGTGCAAAACCGAGTAAGGTGGTGTTCTAATATTCATACATATCTGACCGAAGTTAGAGGAATGAGGCTGGGTTGTTGTGGTTGTCGGTGGCTGACTTTGTCCAACTTTACTAAGTCCCTTCCTAAAAGAGTCATTGCTATAAAGATTGATGGATCTCCAACCAATGGCGGAGCCAGAAATTATTTGTTGGGTGAGCTAAACTAAAATTATTACCACGAAATCAAATGGTTAAATTTTTTTGTTACTTACATAAAGTTACACAATAATAAGCCTAAATGCAATAATTTGAAGTAAGAAATTATATTAGATGTCTGGTGATCATAAGGTTGCTCAGTTGATACTGGTGCGATATCATTAGATGCAAAATGTATATCACTCTCGAATTTATCACTGTCATCTCTTTTTCTAAAGAATGAATCAATAGTTCTTAACCTCTTCATTGAAAAAACGTTGACCTAACAAATTGAAAAACAATAAACAAGTTTATATAATAAATTATATTTTTAAGAAATCTATCAGAAAAAAAATATATTAAATTGGAAACTGATCATTTCAAGTACAAAAATTCAAACAACAAACAAATAAACTCATCAAGAATTAAAAATAAAGTAGTCAGAAACATACCTATTGAGGAGAAAAATCAATAAACTTTGACAATTGTAGGCTCAATCTTTGTGAATTGTACACGAATGTCACCAAAGCTTTCTGAAAAGTGAAAAAAAATACCTTCAAAAGCCGAAAATACAATCTTAAGAAATGTGTAAGTACTCATTAAAATGAATAAAATAATAAGAATTTATAATTACTCTTAAAAACCTAGAACCGTGTGCGACTGCTCCTTAAAAAATCTAAAAGTAATAAAATATAAAAACCTATAGACTACTCCCTAGCAAACCTAGGAAACGTGTTAAAAACTTTCACTAAAGTAAACAATTTATTTAATATTTTCAACTCTTTCTTTTTTTCTAAAAGTGGTCTTACTGTCGGAACTTTTATTTACTAAGTGAGTTAGGCCAAACAATTAATACTCTCTCTATGCTAACCCGCCAAACCTTGTTACTGCCTCCGCAGTTCCAGCTCCAAGTTTTTTGGAGTCCAGTCACTCTATTTGATCCTTATGATTTTTCTCAGGTGTGACCGTGTGAGGTACTCTGCCATTTTTCTTAGTTATTCCAGAAATTTCAGCAGATTTTATTGTTTGTTCAATTCAATCTTTTTTCCTGTTAGCGTGCTTGCTGATTTGTCTGGATCAAAAATACTTGTTTACTGATTTGTGCAAAGTCTGAATCTTGCTATCTGTTTCTGGGTATTTTTCCCGCTTGCCCAATTGGGTCAAGTTCTTATCTGGTGAGTTTCATGAGCCAAGACTCCGTTTTTCATTTCACTTTCTAAGTTGTCCATAAATTCTTGGTTATCTGTTCTAAAAATTTAATATCCCAGGCCAATTGGGTTTCTTGAAATTTGAAAAATCTGACTTGGGATTGTTGGAAAGTTGAAACTTTTATGGATACCCTTCTTGAAAGATGTGATGTTTCCATGGAAAGATTCAATTTTGGGGTCTATGCTCATCAAAATCTTGTAAATGGATTCAAAATGGATCATGAGTCCACCTATTCAATTTTCCCTCCAACAAATGTGGACCATAATTCTAGTGATTCAAGTCCTCCTTTGAACACTGGTTCAGATGGAGATTCTATTGACCCTGGAGATTGCAGTCATCCTGTGCTTAAGTACATAAGCGATATTCTTCTGGAAGAAGATTTGGAGGGTAAGCCCTGCATGTTGCAGGACTGTTTGGCCCTCCAAGCTGCGGAAAAGTCTTTCTTTGATGTCCTTAATCCAAAGGGTCCTCCTTCGCCAAACCAACCCCCCTTGTCCCATAGCCTTGAGAATCCGGATGATGATTCCACCCCGGGTTTTCATAGCGGTAATGGCACCTCTATTGCTACCAAGACAGACTGGGGTTTTGATTCTTCAGAAACCTCCCATTTCCAATCTTATCTTGTTGAGTCTCAATCGGATAACCTTTTGGGTTCGGATCCTCTTTCTGAGATGCAAAGTTTTGGGCATTTTGGAGGTGTAGGGGAAGCATGTAAGTTCCTCCCAAATGAAAGTTTTGAAACTATTGACCTGGAGAATTCGCACACTGATCCGTGCCCTCTGGGAATTCGCACACTGATGAGGAGGCCGGAGAATGATGGGTACAACTCAACAAATATATTGAAGGGAAAAAAGAATCATCAAAGGGAGGATGGTGATTATCCAGAAGAAGGGAGGAGCAGCAAGCAGCCAGTTGCTTTTGCTGATGACTCGGAGCCGCAGGAAATGTTTGATGAAGTGTTACTCAGTCATGGGCGGCGTCATTTCGGTAACAAGCAGTCAAAAGGGTCCAAAACAACACGTTCAAAGAAACAGAGTAGCAACACAGAAATAGTAGATTTGAGCACATTGCTAACTCAATGTGCACAAGCCGTGGCAAGCTATGACCAACAAACTGCACGTGAACGACTCCAGAAGATAAGGCACTACTCTTCCCCCCGTGGTGATGCAAAGCAGAGATTAGCTCATTACTTTGCTGATGGCCTAGAGGCACGCTTGGATGGCGCCACAACCCCATCATACTCTTTTCTTGTTAGTACGCAGTCATCAGCTGCTGAAATATTAAAAGCTTTTCAGGTATCTGTTTCCTCATCCCCTTTCAAGCACACGTCAAGTTTCGTGGCCAACGGAACGATTATGAAACTCTCTGAAAACGCAACAAGGCTTCACATTATTGATTTTGGTATTGCTTATGGTTTCCAATGGCCTTGCTTTATCCAACATCTCTCGGAGAGACCTGGTGGGCCTCCTAAGCTTCGTATCACAGCAATTGAGCTTCCCCAACCAGGTTTTAGACCTACAGAAAGAGTTGAGGAGACTGCACGCCGTTTGAAAAAATATGCTGAGAGATTTAATGTTCCATTCGAGTGCAATGTCATTGCACAAAAATGGGAGACAATCAAGTTTGAGGATCTTAAAATTGACAGAAATGAGCCGACTGCCGTCAATTGTATGTTCCGTTTAAAGAATATACCTGATGAGACGGAGATGTTGAGCAGTGCCAGTCCAAGAGACATTGTGCTAAAGTTGATCAGGAAAATTAATCCAGACGTTTTCATTCATGGGATTGTCAATGGTACATACACTGCACCCTTCTTTGCCTCACGGTTCAGAGAGGCACTCTTCCACTACTCTGCATTGTTTGATATATTTGAGGCCACTGTTCCCCGCGAAGATGAAATGCGGCTGTTGTTTGAAAAAGCAGTTTATGGTAGAGACATAGTGAATGTCATAGCTTGTGAGGGACTGGAAAGAGTTGAAAGGCCTGAGACATACAAGCAGTGGCAGTTTCGGAATGTGAGGGCTGGGTTCAAGCAGCTTCCACTAGACCAAGAGCTTTTGAAGCAAGCGAGGAGATTGTCAAAGTGTTATCATGATGATTTTTGGATTGACGAAGATGGGAACTGGATGCTGCAGGGATGGAAAGGAAAAATTCTCTTGGCCATTTCAATTTGGGTACCGGCCTAGAGCTATTACAATCTTTACTATCTTTGGTGTCGAGTTTTTTCTGTAATCTTCCATCCAGGAACAAAGGTGTTATACTGCTTTGTACTTGGTTTCGTGAGTTTATTGTTTATTTTTCAATTAATTCATTGCTGCCAATGAGAGCTTGATCGTGGATTTGTAAAACATAAGAAACCCAAATCTATGGAAGCAATGAAGAAAATTTCAACTTAAAGAGGAAAAAATCTAAAAATTGTTATACTATGAGGTTGCTGGTGAACTCATATGGTCAATCTGTCTTAGCTTTAGTAAACTGTGACTAATTAGAATTTTTTTCAAGTTTTACTTTTAATGCTCTTATTTTTATTTATTTGTTCTTTGTTGGTTATTAATTTAATGTTAATCTTTTTATATATTTTATAATTAACATGGTCAGACTTCACTGCAAAAACTTTGTATAGAAAATTAAATTATGGTGGGAACTGGGACCCCAGGAAAGGTATAATAGTCAAAGCATGGACTTCTGAACTTTGCTGATTGGTCCCTCTAAAACTGATGTTTTGGTAAAATTTGGCAACTGACTTTGTCATACTTATTGAGTTCAGACCTGCCCAGAAGTCCGTTAAATGCAGTGTGAAGACGTTTCTGCAGATTTTATTGCAAAAGAGTAAAATAGCATCTGTCTGATCATTGTGCTGTTCCACAAGTTATCAGGTACTCTGCAATATTTCTCAGTTTTTCCTTCATTAATTTCATTTTTGGTTATCAGTTCCAAATTTTGGTTTTCACCAGTTCCAAATTTCATCACTTTAGAGTCTTGAAAAATAAGGATTCTGAGCAAATCCTGCTAGATAGATTGTTTTTGTGGATAACCCTTTTGTTGAAAGATTTTCTGTCCCCATGGAAGGATTTGAATTCGGCGATGGCTTGAATTTAGTGTATTCTGATGAGAATCTTGCAGATGGGTTCGTAGAGAATCATGAATCCACCAACCCAAATTTCTTTCCATCTAACTTAGATCATCCTAGTGATTTAAGCACTTCTTTGAGCCCGGGTTCGGATGCTGTTACTATCGACACTAATGACTGCAATCAACCTGTGCTCAAGTACATAAGTGAAATTCTTCTGGAGGAAGATTTGGAGGGTAAACCCTGCATGTTGCAGGAATCTTTGGCCCTCCAAGTTGCTGAAAAATATTTTTATGATGCCCTTAATCCGGAGGACCCTCCTTTACTCAACCAACCCTCTTTCTCTGTGTGCCAAAGCTTTGAGAACTCGGATGTTGGTTGTCATAGCAGTGATGGATCTATTGCCAGTTTTCCTAGCAGTAATGGCTCTATTTCTGCTAATAGTGGCTGGGTCTGGGATTTTTCACAGCCCTCGCATGGAATCAAGTTCCTTCCAAATGAAAGTTGTGAAACCATTGACCTTGAGAGGGACCAGTTAGCGCCTCCATGTTCTGATCAGTGGCCTCCAGGTCCTTACACGCTGATTGGGAATTTGGCATCGGAGAATGATGGCTACAGCTCAATAAATGGACCAAAGGGAAAGAAGAATCATCGAAGGGAGGATGGCTATGATGCAGAAGAAGGAAGAAGAAACAAGCAGTCAGCTGCTGCTTCTGACAATTCTGATCTGCAAGAAATATATGATAAGGTACTACAGAGTGTGAACCATGAACCTGACTCGTGTTTGCATGATGAATCTTCAAAAACTAAGGGAAATAGGACGTTGCAGCATAAGGAGCAGTCAAAAGGATGTAAATCATCACGTGCAAAGAAACAAAACAGCAACCCGAAAGTAGTAGACTTGTGCAAACTGCTAACTGAATGCGCAGAAGCTGTGGCAAGCTATGACCAACAAGCTGCAAATGAACTACTCAAGCAGATAAGGCAGCACTCTTCGCCCTATGGTGATTCAACCCAGCGATTAGCTCATTACTTCGCTGATGGCTTAGAGGCACGGTTGGCTGGTGCCAGAACCCCGTCATATTGCCCTCTTACGACGATGCACTGTCAAGCTACCGAAATCTTAAAGGCTTACCAGGTGTATGTTACTGCATGCCCTTTCAAGAAGATGGTGCACTTCTTTGCAAACAGAACAATTATGAAAACAGCAGAGAAGGCGACAAGGCTTCACATTATTGATTTTGGTAGTTCTTATGGTTTGCAATGGCCCTGCCTTATCCAGAGTCTCTCAGAGAAAACTGGCGGGCCTCCTAATCTCCGTATCACATTAATTGAGCTTCCCCAACCAGGTTTTCGACCTGCAGAAAGAATTGAAGAGACGGCGCGTCGCTTGACTAAATACTGTGAGAGGTATAATGTCCCATTTGAGTACAACGTCCTTGCCAAGAAATGGGAAACCATCAGACTGGAGGATTTTCGTATTGACAGAAATGAGGTGACTGTGGTTAACTGTATGCACCGGTTGAAGCACATGCCTGATGAAACAGTGATGGCGAACAATCCAAGAGATGCTGTCTTAAATTTGATCAAGAGTCGTCTCAATCCAGACCTTTTGTGCACGGTGTTGTCAATGGAACATACAATGCACCCGCCTTTGCCACACGGTTCAAACAGGCACTGTTCCACTTCTATACGTTCTTTGATATGTATGAGGCCACTGTTCCGCACGAAGATGAACAAAGAATGTTCTTCGAAAGAGCAATATTTGGGAGGGACATAATGAATGTCGTAGCGTGCGAGGGACTGGAGAGAGTTGAAAGGCCTGAGACATACAAGCAGTGGCAGACTAGGTATGCGAGGATCGGGTTCAATCAGCTCCCGTTAGACCGGGAGCTCTTGAAGAAAGTGAAGACCATGTCGAAGGTGATGGGGTATCATCGTGATTTCCGAATCGAAGATGATGGCCAGTGGATGCTGCAGGGATGGAAAGGAAGAATCGTCATAGCTCTTACTGCTTTGAAGCCTGCTTAGGAGTTTCACTCTGTGATGCCTAAAATCTGTATTTTCTTGTATCTTCAATATTTCCTGTAACCCTTTTTCAGTCTTGTTTTCGTTCCTAACTATACGCCTCGTCTGGTATTTGAGATTGTACTAGACTGGATAACTCACTAGATTCAATGTACACGTTGGATGAAGAAACGGATGTGAACTTCCAAATTTAGTCCAAGTTGAAGGAGATGCTAGTGAACATCAGTACGGAGGTTGCTATTGTTGTCTACTTTTTTGGTATTAAATATATTCGAACTTTGGTTCTCTGGTTTGCTGTAAATGTCAACATATTGCAAGAGGCTTGTAGCTAAAATGGATGAGAGAATTTACTGTCGTGTTTTGTTCGGTTCTCTGCTGTCCAAATATCGCTTGTGTAAAAGAAAACAAGTTAGCATGGTCAATGTTCAGAGTCACAGTCACAGTCAAGAAAATAATAAACACATGGGCTTACAAATTTTACCGATTAGCCCAAGTGTAGTTCTTCACAAGAGATACTCTCATGTAACTAAAGATATCGCGACATTTATCGAACGAGTAGTGTATTTTTTAAACAAACATTTATTGAACAAGTAGTGTACTTTTTAAACACTTGGCAAACATTTAAGTGACGCAACTCAAAACAATATCTTGGTTGCAAAAGAGAATCTCTGCCGCTAGTAATTTAGCGTATTTCCGTACGCTAAGCTAGAGCTATTAGAGTATAGTTTGAAACTGATCTGGGTAATTAGAATTGTTCTACTCGAAATCTAGTAAATCATGATTCAAGCTCTTCCCAAAATCATGTAAATGGATTCCAAGTAAACCATGAACACACCAATCCAATTTTCCTTCCACCCATCTCAGACCATCCAAGTGATTCCGTGTTTTCGAGCCCTGGTTCGGATGCAGATACTATTGACATTAGTGATTGCAATCATCCTGTGCTCAAGTACATAAGTGATATTCTTTTGGAAGAAGATTTGGAGGGTAAGCCCTGCATGTTGCAGGACTGCTTGACCCTCCAAGCTGCTGAGAAATCTTTCTATGATGTTCTCAATCCAAAGGGCCCTCCTTCGTCCAGTCAATCCCCTCTTCCGATGTACCAAAGCTTTGAAAACTCACATGATGATTTCACACAGTGTTGTCATAGTAGTAATGGCCGTGTTGCTGCTAGGACACACTCGGTATCGAGTTCAGAAGCCTCTCATGTCCAATCTTGTCCGGTTGAGTCTTCATCGGATGCATAGGGAGGATAGCGATTATACAGAAGAAGGGAGAAAAAAAACAGTCAGCTGCCTCTAATGATGGCCCTGAGCCACAAGAATTGTTTGATGAGGTTTTGCTCTGTCAGGATGCGGACCACGAGTTTAAGTCTTGTTTTCACGATCAATATGTCAAAACTGATGCAAGTGGGAAGTTGCAGTGCAACAAGCAACCGAAAGTTTCTAAAGCAGCACGCTCAAAGACAAAGCATAAGAACAGGGAAGTAGTAGATTTGTGCACAATGCTGACTCAATGCGCACAAGCTGTGGCAAACCATGACCAGCGAACTGCGAGTGAACTAATCAAGAAGATAGGGCAGCACTCTTCTCCCAATGGTGATGCAACCGAGAGATTAGCTTATTACTTTGCTGACGCCCTAGAGGTACGCTTGGCTGGCTCCAGCACCCCCTCGTATTCTCCTCTTTTAAGTACACAGACACCAGCTACCGAAATCTTAAAAGCTCACCAGGTGTATGTTACTTCATGCCCTTTCAAGAAGATGTTGTACTTCTTCGCCAATAGAACAGTTATCAAACTAGCAGAAAATGCTACGAGGCTTCACATAATTGATTTTGGTATTTCTTATGGTTTCCAATGGTCATGCCTTATCCAACGCCTCTCTAAGAGACCTGGTGGACCTCCTAACCTTCGTATCACAGCAATTGAGCTCCCCCAACCAGGTTTTCGACCCACTGAAAGGGTTGAAGAGACAATGCATCGCCTAGAAAAATATGCTGAGAGATTTGATGTCCCATTTGAGTATACTGTGATTGCTCAGAAATGGGAAACTATCCGATTTGAGGATCTTAAAGTTGACAAATATGAGATGATTGTTGTTAACTGTATGCGCCGGTTAAGGCACATACCCGATGAAACAGTCGCGGTGAGCAGTCCAAGAGACACTGTCCTAAACTTGATCGAGAAAATAAATCCAGACCTTTTCATTCACGGAGTTGTCAATGGGACATACAATTCCCCCTTCTTTGTCACGCGGTTCAGAGAGGCGTTCTTCCACTACTCTGCGTTGTCTGATACGTTTGAGGCTACTATTCCTCGCGAAGATGAACATCGTCTAATGTTCGAAAAAGCAATATATGGTAGAGATATAATGAATGTCATAGCGTGCGAGGGACTAGAACGAGTTGAAAGGCCGGAGACATACAAGTATTGGCAGGTTAGGTATCACCGGGCGGGGTTCAAGCAGGTGCCCCTGGACCAGGAGCTCTTGAAGAAAGTGAAAGCCATGCTGAAGTTGATGCGTTATCATAACGATTTTCGAATAGATGAAGATGGCCACTGGATGCTGCAAGGATGGAAAGGAAGAATCATCATTGCTCTTTCTGCTTTGAAGCCTGCTTAGGAGTTTCACAGTGTGATGCCTAAAATTTGTACTCTCCTTGAATTATCAATATCTCTTGTAGCTTTTCTTTTTTCAATCTTAATTTTCTCTTATCCATCTCTGTCTATGGAGCTTGATCAAATATCTTCTGCAATTTTTTAGTTTTGGAATATGATCATGATGATGTCGGATTTACTACGTGTGTATTTGATGTGAAAGTTACACCATAACACTGACATACTAGCATACACTTAGTAAAAAAAAGTATGATAAGAGCTATGACTTATCTTAAGAATTGTAACTTGTCAACAAGCAATACGACATACTAGAAAATATGTGGCTTATCAAAAAGAATGAGTCCGTTCATTCTCCTATGAGATTACATCTATGTTAACAAACTCTTCCATTCTTTTGGCTTATTTATCACTTAGCAATCTCGCATAAATTAATAATTTAGCGACATTAGATTCAGAAACGAGAGAAAACTCTAATGAATTTGGGATTTAACTTATCAATGCAAAAAATTTCATTTTCCAACGTGAGTTAAATATTCTCAATACAACTCTTAGTACCACAGAAATTAAACACGTGAACAACATTTACTGGGTTACGTGGGATCACAAGCATACTTTGAGCAGAACACATGATTAACCTACTAAACAGACAACAATATACAATAATCACTCATGGACTTAGAAAAGTTGTATTGGTAGCCCATGTCGGTATGATCGTTATGTTTGTGGTCCTTATTCACTTATACACACACACAGCGGATGGTGCACAAGGTGGCTGGTGACTTTGTCCAACTTGAAGATGAGATTAAGACTTCAGACCTTCCCAGAAGGTTAAGGTTCACGTATGTATGTATGTATGTATGTATGTATGTATGTACGCACGAACGTATGTATGTATGTATAAAGAAACAAAAAAATACTATCACTAAACACGCATACACTCACACATATATATTTGGATATACCTGCAATCATATCTTCTGACCCACTTATGTTTTCATCTTTTTCAGGTGTGAAGTATTCTGCAACACAAAAGACCAAGAGGTACTCTGAAAATATCCAATATTTGTAAGTTCAAATCTTGATTCTGTTCTTAACCTGCTTGAATTCCACAACCACAAATCTGTATGTTTGTGAGTATTTCTCACTTACCCATTTGGCTTGATTTCTTATCTGGTGTGTGAATTGCATAAAATAAGATTGAAATTATATCACTTTCTTGTTTTCCCCAATTTTTGTTGGCCATCCGTTCCAAAATTCCAATATCTCAGTTGGGTTTTCTGGAAAAACCAGAAAACTCTTACCAGTTTCTGCTAAATTGGTTGTTTTTATGTATAACCTTTATGAAAGATTCTCAATTTCCATGAAAAACTTCCAGTTTGGTTCTACCCAGAATCTTGTCAATGGATTCCAAGTGAATCATGAACCCACCAATCCACTTTTCCTTCCAACTACCACAGACCATCCAACCGATTCCGGGCTTTCGAGCTCGGGATCAGATGGAGATTGCTTTGACATTAGTGACAGCCGTCCTGTGCTCAAGTACATAAGTGATATTCTTTTGGAGGAGGACTTGGAGGATAAGCCCTGCATGTTGCAGAACTGTTTGGCCCTCCTTGCTGCTGAGAAATCTTTCTATGATGTTCTTAATGCGAAGGATCCTCCTTCGCCTGACCAACCGCCTCTTCAGGTGTACCATAGCTTTGAGCACTCAGATGATGATTCCTCACATAGTTGCCATAGCAGTAATGATTCTAGATCTGCTAGGACAGACTCGGTTTTCGATTGTTCAGAAACCCTGTTGGCTTCAGACTCAATTTCTGGGAATTTTGGAGGAGTTGGGGAAGCAAGAACTCTCATTCCAAATGGGAGATATGGAATCATTGACGTGGAGAGGTACCAATCAGTCCCCACGGGAGGTAATACACTGAGGAGGAATTTTGCACCCGAGCCAGAGAATGATGGCTACATCTCAGCAAACAGATTGAAGGGAAAGAAGAATCGTCAAAGGGAGGATGGTGATTATGCAGATGAAGGGAGAAGTAGCAAGCAATCAGCTGCTTTAGGCGACGATGCTGAGCCACAAGAAATGTTTGATAAGGTATTACTCTGTCATGTGAATCATACGCATGAATCTTGTATTCGTGACAAACCTTTGGGCAGTGAGGTATGTGAGAAGTTGCAGCCTACCAAGCAGTCAAAAGGGTCTAAAACAACCCGCTCGAAGAAACAGAACAATAACAGGGAAGTTGTGGATCTTACCACCCTGCTAACTCAATGTGCACAAGCCGTGGCAAGCTATGACCAACGAACTGCGAGTGAACTACTGAAGCAGATAAGGAAGCACTCTTCTCCCTATGGTGATGCAACCGAGAGATTATCTCATTACTTTGCTGATGGCCTTGAGGCGCGCTTGGCAGGAGCCAGAACCCCGTTATATTCGCCTCTTTTGAGTATACAGACACCAGTTGCTGAAATCTTAAAAGCCTACCAGATGTATGTTAAGTATTGCCCTTTCAAGCACATGTTACACTTCTTTTCCAACAGGACAATTATTAAACTAGCTGAAAAGGCAACAAGGCTTCACGTTGTTGATTTTGGTATTTCCTATGGTTTCCAATGGCCCTGCTTTATCCAACGCCTCTCAGAGAGAAATGGTGGACCTCCTCATATTCGTTTGACAGCAATTGAGCTTCCCCAACCAGGTTTTCTACCTACAGAAAGGGTTGAAGAGACGGGGCGTCGCTTGAAAAAATATGCTGCAAGATTTAATGTCCAGTTTGAGTACAAGGTCATTGCACGGAAATGGGAGACTATCCAACTTGAGGATCTTAAAATTGACAGAAATGAGCTAACGGTGGTGAACTGCATGCACCGGTTAAAGCACATACCTGATGAAACCGTGGTGGTAAGCAGTCCTAGGGACATTGTCCTAAAGTTGATCAGAAAAATTAATCCAGACCTATTTATTCACGGAGTCATCAACGGGACATACAATTCACCCTTCTTTGTCACACGGTTCAAAGAGGCGCTCTACCACTTCTCTGCAATGTTTGACATGTTTGAGGCCACTATTCCTCGAGAAGATGAGCAGCGGCTGATGTTTGAAAAGGCAGTATATGGTAAAGACATAATGAATGTCGTCGCGTGTGAAGGACTGGAACGAGTTGAAAGGCCTGAGACATACAAGCAGTGGCAGGTTAGGTATCATCGAGCTGGGTTCAAGCAGGTGCCTTTAGACCAGGGACTCTTGAAGAGAGTGAAGATTATGCTGAAGGCAATGGATTATCATGATGATTTTCGAATAGATGAAGATGGCGAGTGGATGCTTCAGGGATGGAAAGGCAGAATCATCTTCGGTCTTGCGTTCTGGAAACCTGCTTAGGTGCTGGATCTCATGTTATCTAGGCTAGAGTTTTTAAGAGTCGTGGATAACTATTACAATATGCAATCTTTTTGTTCTCTAGTTTTCAAGTTGTTTGTACTATACTGTTCTAAAAAATTTCGTTTGGTGTCACTTAGGCCCTACCTAGATGTTTGGCGGCTAGCCACCGTTTTAATTAATCTCTAGATGTTTAAAAATTAAGGAATGGCGCCTAGGCGTCCATCTAGACCCACCTAGGCGTCTATCTAGGTCGCAATTGTCATATAGACAGAAAATAATTAACTATCATTTTGCATTTTATTTTTTCAATAAATTGTTAGAAAGTTGTTGAATAATTGGATGAACACTCGTTCTCCATGTTTTCAACATATTCTAATACTTTATAATCTGTCTGTCATTATACTTTGGATAACTAAATTTAATTAAAATTAAAAAAAGAAAAAGAAAAACCGCCTAGGTTCCCCACTAGGTGCTAGGGCTTTGCCTGGTGCCAAACTAGAGTCAAGCATCTTTTAGACTCTCATGTAATATACGTAGTCATGGTTTATGATTAACAGCTCTCTGATCAAAATGCAGCTCAACTAAAAGAATTTAGTCCGGAAAGCCCTCTAAGCGCGGTTACTTGGCTGCGGCAGCCTCATTGCAGCTTATGCGCGCGATGTAACTTCTAACTCATTAGTTACATAGGAAGCAGGGATTAAACTTGATGAAAATTTTTAATATGGCTTAACAGATTTAAGAACTTGAACTAACGAATCAAAGCGTGAAGTGATGAACTCGAAACTTAAAATTATGCAGTGAAAATCATGAATTTACTTCAAACACACATTCGACTTGTAAACTTCAAGAAGCTAGCCGAAGAGGACTGTCACGATAAACTCATTTAACCTGTGATTCCTTAGTTACTCGCTGACTCTCTCGCTTTTTTACTCGGGAATCCGAAGGCCAAAATACACAGTTTACCAGGCCATTTTAACTGCTATGCATCATTGACGGTAAACCTAATGCACAATGCATGCAATTCAAGTGTATGAGAGAGAGAGAGAGAGAGAGAGAGAGAGAATTTGGACTAAACGCTTGAGGAACAAGTACCAGGCCATTTTGGACTGCTATGCATCATTGACAGCAAACCTAATATACAATGCATGCAATTCAAGTGTATACAATGCATGCAATTCAAGTGAGAGAGAGAGAGAGAGAGAGAGAGAGAGAGAGCCTATAAATATTCAAATGCCACAAAAGAAATCGCCATGCATTGAGTCAAACCAAATAGGCAAAAAAATAAAAATAAAAAAAAATCAAGGCTTTTCTCTGAAAAATTCAAGAGACTGTTCTGGTTGAAAAAAAAAAAAAAAAAAAACCCACCACGTTGTGTTTTGTTAGAGATCCACATCACATCAAATTGGATGAATCTGACCCCACCACAAAAAAAAAAGAAAAAGAAAAATCAAGGCTTTAAGAGACTGTTCTGGTTGAAAAAAATACCCCACCACATCTTCTGTGTATCGGTAGAGATCCACATCAAATTGGATGACACTGACCCTGTTTATTAAAATGCAAGGACAAATTGGAATCCCCTTTAATATTACTTTTCTCTCATGTTATGAATCAAGGGTTTGAATAGATTGGCGTCCTTGTTGCTGTAGTTAAAGGTAGCCGCCCCACC